GACGCCACCACCACAATTCCAAAACACACACACACACGTAAGCTACTCCTTCCTCCCTATGACTCTGGTGCCTTGTGGAAGTACCTTCCCAGGACCAGATCCTTCCACAGAGCCCCTGTGGTCCTCTCAAGTGCTGGTGTGTTTTCCGCCAACCAGACTTTTGCCTTCCCCCTATCCTGCGGCTACTCTCCAGTGGGCTCTCTGGCTGGATTCCCTGGTCTTGCCCTCCTGCTCTTTAACCCGTCCTCATCATGCCCACCACTTGACAAGGAATCAGCCCACAATCTCCATTGAAGGAGTTGGATATTCCCGTGCATGGAGCTTGGCTCCCTTCACCCAACCCCATCCGAAATCCCATGGATCTTAAGCCTGTCCTCCTCTCCAACCCTGGCACACCAGAAACGCCTCCAGACTCGACCCCAGATCCCACCTCGCCCTGCGTCCATGCTCCACCCTCTGCTTGACCCTCAATGTCCCATCCTGCTTCCCCTATGACTTGCTAGACAGATGAAGGATTGATTGGTCCTTTCATGAACTGTGCTCGTCTCTTCACTTACTGTCCTCCCTCCCCCATTGCTTGCTCTCTCGTCCCTAAGAGGGGTCTACTGACTCTATCTGCTATCCCGTGTTCCTTACCTTTGTGGGGCCACCATTATGAGATGGTGGTCGCTTACCTGGCCTTCTCTGTAACCTCACCGTCTCTCCCCTAGCCCTGTGCTGACAGGGTTGTCCCCAGGCTTTTCCGTGGGCCACTTCTCCACACCTCATCCTCCTCTGACCTCATCCCACCAGGCCGGCATTGCTCTTTGGCCTTACCCACTCTGTGATCTTCACCCTGCGTAGGCTCCTCACGCTCTCGTGCTACTCAAGGGAGTAAAGTTGTGCCTTCTCCTAGTCGCCACCCAGGTTTCGTTCTTTACCATTCTTTGGGTGCAGTGTGTACCTCTCCAGTCCTTCCTCACTCTTTGTGTTCTTTGAATTTGACCCCACTACTACACTCTCCCACATTTCGAATGTGCTCACCTGATGTCCTACCTCTTGGGCCTGGGTTCATCATCTTTCCTGCTTTGCTTCTCTACTGCATACGTAGCTAGAAAACTGTCCTTCCTGAGCCAGGTGACATTTCTATAGCCACAGTCTGTTCATCTCCTGGATGAACCCCATGATGCTTTTGTGCTCCTTACGTCATTCCCCACCTTCTTCACATGCCTGTGGGGTCTCCTAGGCCTTTATATACTCTCCTGTATCTGCCTGTTTGCCCGCGCCCTCTGCTCACAGCCTTTGAACCTGGACTGTGCTTCCCTCCAGGGACACGCCAACCTGCTTCCCCGTAATCTTTCCTGTTTCCATTAAGACTCCTTTGTTTCACATTCTTGGACACATACCTTGTGGAGCCTCTTCCTCTCATTCCCTTACCTCTTCCTTATCAGTCTGGGTCACTGGTTCCCACCGTTGACAGTGCGGCTATTTGGTTCTTAATGGGGGCGATTTCAGAACGACTTATTAACAGTAAATTTCTTGCATTTCTTAATGTTCTAGGAGCCTCCTGTACTAGTACAGTAGAGAAAGTTCTTTTGTGACATATTTGTGCACTTCAGTTCTCTTTTATATGTTTGTGTGTTTTTTATTTTTTTCTCGTTTAAAGTATTACAAACAGTAGTACGTCTCTGTCCTTTTTTCCTCCAATTGACCTTCTCCCAGCCTCCTCTCCCCCCGGCATCTGTTATATGTTTTAAAAGTTTATTTGCTACTTTTTCACATCACTTCATATTGTTATTTTGGCACAATTTCTGGGTTTTTTCTTCCTCAGTATTTCAACTGTCCTGTTGTTCTTTTATTTTTCTCTTTCATGGATGCCATCTTCTTTGGAAGCCTGTTTAGACCAAGTTAATGGCTTTTTAGGTGTCCTCCACATGAATCCGAGTTCACTTTTTGAATAATGGGAATTATATGTCATGGGCTGGGGGAAACATCAGGATTTTAGAGATGCTTAGGTGGGGCATGGGAAAAAAAAGGTTGGGAGCCACTGCTCTGGGTCTTTGGCCTTCAGCCCTCCCTCTTGCCCCTGTGCCTGCTCCATGCCTGATGACACCTTGGTGCTCAGTCTCGCTCTGCACAGAGCCCTGGGTCTAGCTGTCCGCCCCTCTTCTCTCCTTCCTCTGCCAGCCATCGTCTGTCTGCCAGATCATCTCCAGTCCCAGCTGGGCCTTGCTTCTGCTCTACCGCCCTTCAGGTGCTCTCTGATCACATCAGTCCACCCTATATTTTCCCATTGGTCACTCCTGTCTCCCTCAGCCCTCCTCCTCAAGAGGCCTCAGTTCCAGGACCAAACCTTGGTGCTCTGCTCCCTACTCACTCAAGTGAATCCCATGGTGCCACCCTCTATCCTTCCAGGTGATTTCTCGGCTACATCCATTTTCTTGCTGTCTTCCTGGTTCTGGATCCTTTAACCCCATTCTGACATTCTTGACTCTCATGCAACCACCCCACTCCCTTCCAAACCGTCGTGTGCAAAACACCATCATTTAGCTCATGCCACCACCACAATCCCAACACACACACGTAAGTTACTCCTTCCTCCCTCCCATTATGGCTCTTATTTTGTGGAAATATCTTTGGCCCCGAATCTGGTCTTTCTCAGCACTCGATATTTTCCCTTTCTCTATCCATCCTCCCAGACCACTGGCATATTTCTCTCCAGAGCCCTTTGTGTGATTTCTTCCAACCAGACCTTTCCCTTTCCTTCTTCTTGCAATTTCTCTCCTTGGTTTTCTCTGCTTGGTTTCCCTGGTCTTTCCCTCAACTGTACCACTCATGCAATAATCCTGGCATGATCCTCTGCGCATCTTCTCTGGTCCTTTTGAGTCCTCTCTTTTTTCCCCCTCAACCCGACCTTTCCCTTCCCTCTTTCCTACAGATCCTCTTCTTGCGTCCCCTCTCTTTTTGCCTTCCCCCTCCTCAACCTGTTATCATCACTCCAAACACTTGATGTGGAATCAGTCCACAATCTCCATTAACGGAGATTGGCTCCCGTTTCCCAACCTCTTCTGCAATCCCAAGGTCAGTTTGACTGCTGGGGTGCACTCAACCTTGCCCACCTCCTGTTTTCCAGTGGTTTCCTCCAACAGTTGTTCCTTGAAAATTCCAATCTTGCCCCGCCCACACACACACACACACACTATCCCAGCACTGTTTTCTTGTAAGCACCACACTCCCTTCCATATATTCTGCCACCTGACATTTCAAAACTCCCAGTCTGCTTTAGAGCATTGTTTTTTACTTTGCACACTCTCATACTCTTCCTGCCATCCCCTTTTTTTGACTCTCGGGTATTGTATCAATATCTTCATTCTGAGTTTTGTTTTTCTTGGCCATAATGGTCCTCACTTCCCTATTCTCCTATCAACCAGAGCTTTCCCTTCTCCCCTTTCCTGGAGGTACTCTCCTGTGTCCTCTCTGGGTGGATTCACTGGTCTTTCCTACCCCCTCATCCTGTTGCCATCACTCCCAGTAGTTGAGATGGAATCAGTCCATAAGCTCAGATAAAGAAGTTGGTTTTCTTGGTCCCTAAAGTTTGGCTCATATAGTCCCATCCCCACCCTAGTGCCCATTGATCCCTACCCCTCCCTCCTGTCCAACCCCATCTTACCCAATGCCTACCCTATCCCAATCCCCACCCTAAAGCCTGGCTATTCCCCTCCCTATCTCCCTCCC